GGTTATGACAATTGCTTGGTTTATTAAAGAACAGAATATTTTTTCTAGATTTTCATATTGTGAACTGTTATTACAGAGATCAGAGTTCCCTATCAATAAGGTAAATTCTCCTTCTAGTTACCTCATCAGCTGAGTAGCTATTATTTGTAGGCTACGGTACTTTATTTTAGAGGGAATGCTTTGAAGCCACAAGAAAGTGGACTTGTTTGCCTTCATGTGTGTATGCTGATTGAAATGAAATGAAATTGGAGCTGAGGTTAGAATTTTTTTTTTTAGTATCAGAAGGCATGGGTACAAATTCATAATTGTAAGTAAATTGATGTGATTTTTTTCATGTTATGGACTATATTTAGTGGGTTTATTTCCCTCTATAAAAAATAAAATGAAAAACATTGGCAACACTATTGAATTGTGATTGTGCTTATATAAAGTTAAAATTTCTTGCATATTTAACTTTGACATGTAACACAGTGATATACTACATGATTTCAGGCAACCCATTAAATATGTGGTGGTTACACATACCTAAATAAATTTAAGCAAATATTTACTAATTTTACTGCAGTGAACTAATATTGGGGGCTAGATCCTGTAAACTGACTTTATTTGCCATTAGAAGGATTGCTTGCCATTGGAAGGTTCATAAACTTTTTTTGGGAAAAATAATAGTTATTTGCTTCATTGAAATCACTTCTTCAATAAGTGTTTTCAGAACTAAAATAATTCCAAAGGTGTTTCAGTTATACACTTGAAGAAGTTTGCTTACCAGGTAGATGATGGATGTGGCTGACATGGAATATAATCTTGCATACATAAATACCATGGGGCATTTGACTTATTTTCCAAAATAACGATACTTTTTCAACTTTTATGAATGCTCAAGTATTCTGACACTATTCTTATATTACTCATATTTTACATGATTATCATTTAGTAAATATTTTTATCATACTATACACAAAATGTAAATCACATGACCATTATACTTTAGGAATTTGCATTCTAAATCAATATTTTTCACCTTGATAGTGTACCATTTATTTAATAAACTATGGGGTCCTAAAGAGCAGCCCTAATGATTAGATCAGTGCCCTTTGAGAATCTCAATTCATTATCAAGAATGCTCTTCATCTTTGGTAGCAATAGAACCCCACCTTCTTTCTTGCTAAATTTGTGTGTGTATGTGTGTGTGTATATGTATGTGTATAGCTTAATTATTTTTTAAACTACCTTCAAGGTTTGATCTGTGTACATTTGAAATTAAAGAAGTTATATATTGAGAGTATCTTCTGATGATTCTCCAGTGTTGTACATCTAGTGAGTTTTTCTTTTTCTTTTAGGTATTGATGCCAACATAAAGGATAGCTTAGGCAGAACTGTCTTAGACATTCTGAAAGAACATCCATCTCAGAAATCTCTTCAGATTGCAACACTCTTACAAGGTACAAAAATATTGAATGATGGATGAGTTTTCCTTAAAGTCAAGATTAAATTAAAACCGTAATACAGTTTTCTTTTGGGTTTTGGGTTAATGTTCACTTTTGAATATGGGTAGGTTTTTAAACGAAATGACAATACCTTTTAATGTTTTATTTCTGTTTGTCAACTACTCAGTATTAAAAAAAAGCTAAAGTATTTTGTCACTTAATATTAAAAAGCCTTTTTTTAACCCACGTGATAAATATGCAGTTATGAGCTTAACCTTAATAAAACTTTAAAATGGTAATGATTATGTATATTATCTTACATTTAAATAATACTTTAAGAGTTTTCAGAACTTTTCTATTTTGTCCGATTTATGTAATAACTCTGTGAGGTACATATGTAGATGTCGTTACTCTCCTTTTTTCACATGGCGGAAACTGAAGCTCTGAGAGATTAAGTGATTTGCTTAAACTCATATACCCTATTCTAAGAGGCAGAGTTGGTATATAAACAACAAAAATTGTACTTCGCTGAAAGGATACATATTATTTCCTCCCTAACTTCTTCTTCTTTTTTTTTAATCACTTACAATACCTACTGGGTTTTTTTTTTTTTTCTTTAAATTGTGCTTTAAGTGATATTTTACAGTGCAGATTTAAAAATTTATTCACAAATTGTTTTATGTCCTCCCTAACTTCTTAATCTAGTAGTGCAAAGTGATTAAATTTTACCAACCTTTGTCTTTGAGAAAGATCATTTAAGTACTTTTGTATTAATTGCAGGCAGTAGGCCTACTGAATGTTTGACAGCCATCTAGATATTTGCAAAATTGCATACACCACCATTATATCTCAAACTTTATGAAAAATTTAGATTCAAATGATCTTCCCTTCCTGTCCAGTAATTAGGCCTAGCATATAGCATATTCCCTTGAAAACCCAGTGTGATCTTTCTTTCCTTGCTGGTTACCTCTTACACTGTTCAGTGGTATTCATCCCCTACAATCCTTGCAGACTGACACAAGTGTCATAGAGGAAGAAGGCAAGAAAGGTTTCATTGGGTATCAGTTGGGAAGCTGAAGAACAGCTTAGTTCTGCAGGGAGATAAATGACTTAAAACTAAGGCAGCAGACTTGTAGATACAGGAATCAACAAAGGCCAAAGAGGGGTAAAGAGAATTAGGTGCACTACAGGAAGTCATTATGTGCTCCCTTTATTTATTTCCAAAACCTCTCATGAATGTTCAAGCTTCTACAATTTCTTGTCGATAATGTATATTAATTGCAAATAAAGTGCAACTAGATATGAATCAAAGAAGAAATAAAAGTGTGACTCTTCATATTAAGTCAAATTAAAGTCGAATGAATCAGTTAAAAAATGCTCACATTGTTTTACATTTTATACCTTTGCCTCTAACTGAAAACTTCAGAAAAACCAAAAAACAAAAACGGAGACTTGTGCATAATATGTCCTTTGGGAGAAGCAAAATAAATGTCACCCATTAAAAAGGGGCATGAAATATTTTTTTAACATACTGTATGAGTTCAG